CAGACGCTCAACCGACGGAGCCACCCAGGTGCCCCGAACACATACTGCTTTTATACAGTTACTTACTTACCACTTTCAAAAAAAGCAATAATAGGGGAAATGCGTGTCTTGGCCTGTTTGGGCTGCCATAACAAAATGCCACAGATTGGGTGGCTTAAAAACAACAGGAGTTTATTTGTCACACTTGTGGAGGCTGGAGTTGAAGGCTAGGGTGCCAGCCCAGTCAGGTTCTGATGAGAGCCCTCTTCTGGCTGCAGACTGCCAGCTTCTTGCTGTCTTCACATGGTGGAAGGACTGAAGGAGCTGTCTTGGGACGTATCTCTTAAGGGCCCTATTCATGAAGGCTTTGTCCCCATAACCCAATGACCTCCCAAAGGCCCTGCCTCCTAATACCATAACCTTGGGGGTTAGTTCCACCATATGAATTTAGAGGGATGCATTCAGACCATAGCAATGTGCTTCCATTCACATATTTCTCTTCTAGACCATTCAGTTCAGCCTTTCCACTCCTCTGCATCAACTCTATTTACAATACGGATGGGGGCCGTATATCCAGGGGGCCAGCCAGGGGCCCTATTCCCCAGAGCATCCTAAGTATGGGCAGTTGCGAGGCCACTGAGACCGGCCCTCTCCACACAAATTTCCAAAGTTGCCCCAGGACAGCAGGGACGGCAGATTCCAACTCCTAGATGCTCTGTTCCTCCTCAGCCCAAATCCCCTACATCCTGCAGTAAATTGTGGCTCTGGCTTTGTTTTGTGTTCCTGCAGATCACAAAGGCATCAAGGAAAAGGCTCACGGTGAACCTGGCTTCCTCGGAGAGCCACCATATCCGCGTGTCCCAGCAGGACTTCCGACTCTTCCGTACCCTCTTCCTGCTCATGATCTCCTTCTTCATTATGTGGAGCCCCATCATCATCACCATCCTCCTCATCTTGATCCAGAATTTCAAGCAGGACCTAGTCATCTGGCCATCCCTCTTCTTCTGGGTGGTGGCCTTCACGTTTGCCAACTCAGCCCTGAACCCCATTCTCTATAACATGTCACTGTTTAGGAATGAATGGAGGAAAATTTTCCACTGCTTCTTCTACCCAGAAAAGGGAGCCATGTTTACAGATACATCTGTCAGAAGAAATGATCTGTCCGTTATTTCCAACTAATTAAATTTTTCTCTATAGGCAGAGTTTATCACCCTCTGGAAAGCTAGGATACACTTTCAAAGGGAGTTTATTTCCAGGACCATCATATCACTGTAGCCTGCTTTAAGAAAATGTAACCTATGCAAATACACATTTATAGCACCAGTAAATTAAGGGGTGATCATTCAGTATGACAATTTTACCCTTCATAAAAGGATTTGTTATGGGCTCCCTTTAAATATGAACTTTTTCCAGTGTGTTTGTAATATGATTGAGTTTAATAAATTTTTATTTATAGCTGTTCAGCAATCACATCTCTTACATATAAAGCCACACCATGCTGGTTTCTGGAGTGAGTCTTGCAAGTGATCTAATACTCAGGTTTCTCCCTGAAGGTTCACTACCACTGTAGGTCCCCACCCTGGACTTGCGAGGCCTCAAGACTATTCAATAATGTCAACAAAACTTGAGGAATTTCCAAAGAAATTCAAAAAAATTAAAGTGACTTTAGTTTTTCACTTATAAGAAATGAAATGCCATGTACCTCTTTAGGGGAAGCCATGTTATGGAATCAGAGAAGAGATAGAATGACTCAAATCATTAAGAGTGAGAGCGTAAGTGATTCCCTCCATGGATCCACCTGTCAGGTGCCTTTTAAGCCCATAGTGTGGCCAGTGTTCTTGGTGCTAGGAACACAGCGGTGAACCAGACAGCCATGGCTCATGCCCTTATGGGGCTTACTTACCTTCTATTTTGGGGGAGAAGCACTAAACAGAAATCAGTAAATAATATAGCATTATAGAGTGGATTCACATCATGAAGAAAATAGGACAGTGGTGGGGCACCTGGGTGGCTCAGTCAGTTAAGCGTCCAACATCAGCTCAGGTCATGATCTTACGGTTCATGAGTTTGAGTCCTGTGTCAGGCTCTGTTTTGACAGCTCAGAGCCTGAACCTGCTTCACATTCTGTGTCTCCCTCTCTCTCTGCCCCTTCCCTGCTCATGCTCATGCTCTGTCTCTGTCTCTCTCTCTCAAAAGTAAATAAACACGAAAAAAATTTTTAAATAGGACACTGATGGCAATTTGGATGGGATGGGGGGAGGGGTCTAGGAAGACCTTTCTGGGGTTGATATTTGGGCCAAAAGATAAACCACCAGAAAGAGCCAACCATCAGAATCCAGGGGAATAGGGCTTTGCAGACATTGTCAACACTGGTCCTGGTGCAAAGGGGCTGGTATACTTGCAGAACAGAAAGAAGACTGGTGTAGGCAAAGCAAACTATTGACTGATCTTCTTCTGTGTTACACACTGTTGTTGATGCCAGGACAGAGGGGTGCCCTGCTGGAGCCCATTGATTGAAACCAGAGAAGGGACAGGGCTGAACTATATTGGGCCTGGGAGGCCACATAGGGAGTTTATTCTGTGTTCAATGGGCAACCACTGGAGGTTTGCAGTTGGAGACTGATATGACCTAATATCTATTTTTAAATATTACTCTGGCTGATGTGCAAAGGATGGACTTTGAAGAGCAAGAATAAAAATGTGACAAATTAGGTGGCTGCTGAGGTAGAAAAAAAATGGGAAGTCAGAGGTGGATGGCCTTAGTAGGGGGTTGTGAGATAAGATCTTGGGACTACTTTGGGAAGGCAGAGTAAGCCCGATTTACTGACGGACAGGATGTAGAACATGAGGGAAAGAGAGGATTCGAAGGTGACTCGTGGATGAACAATGATTGGATGAGCCAGCAGGCCAGAAAAATGGGGAAAGACTAGGAGAAGAATGGGGGATGAGAGAGCCAGGAGTTTCATTTGGGGATAAATTTGAGATCCCAATGAGATCCAATGGAAAGTAGGCAGTTGGAGGCAGGGATGGGGAACTTGGGCCCAAAGATACAACATTAGGAGAAATCACATTGTGTTTACAGGTCTCCATTTTTATGAATTATCTCTGCGACAAAGAGGCGGTGGAGGGGGGAGGGGAGAAACAAGAGCCAAAGAGATCCCAGGGATATGCCATCACTTGCAGTCTGGGCAATGGCAGGACCGCACAAGAGCTCGGGTGCTGGCACACAGTAGGTGTTCAACAAATCTTTGTTGCAGAGTAAATCAGTGTCATTGGTTGCCATTGTTTACAAAGTTTATTGAGTAACTTGCTTCCGAAGGAAGATTTATGGTGATCACAAGCTTGAGAACAAGAGGACAAGGATCTTTTGTTCATCTTTGGTTGACAGATTTGGTAAATTAAAGCTGTCTTTTGATGTGATGTGTGGCTACGTTATGGGTGTCTGGCATCATCAGACTGAAGATGAAGAGCCCAGTTCTGACACCTGTTGTTCCGTGTGAACGACAGGCAGGGACTACCCCTACGGGGTTACCTGTCATCTGCCTCTTTGATGGGAGAACACACAGTGAAGTGGTGGACCCGGAAGCCCCTTTTGGCTCTGTGATATGCCAGCCCCCAAGCAGAGATCTCTACACATATGTGCCCTTCCCCCCCTCCAGACCCAGTTCATGAACATCAGTCTGGCATCATCTCCGGGGCTTGCACAGTTCCTGAGTGGTCTAACTGAACCCTCACTGCACCCTATCAAGCAGATACTATTTCCCCATATTTCACAAGAGAAGAGTGAGGCTCAGAAAAGTCACATAACCAGCTCCAAATCACACAGCTACAACATATCTAAGCTGGATTTTGACTTAAAACCAAGACTCTGGTGCCAAAGCCTTGATGCCTTTTCCAAATAAGAAACTGAAGTTCCTGGGAGCTCCTGGGAAATGAAGGCAAATGGCTCTGAATGAGGTTAGGCATTGTGTTCACAAGTGCTACTAACCGTGTGGGACACTGGTGTTCCATTCCAGCCCCACTATTTCTATCCCAGCTAGCCTCTTTCCGGCACTCCAGTAGGGGGCGCCATGATCTTCCCACAGATCTCTTCCAGGGCCCCCTCTCCTAACTCCCCCAGGGAAGCCCACAGCAACCTGTCCCTCAATATTTTGGCCATGCCTGAAATAAGAACTAAATTAAGCAGCACCTGGGTGACTCAGTCGGTTAAGCATCTGACTTCGCTTCAGGTCACGATCTTGCAGTTTGTGGGTATGAGCCCTGCATCAGGCTCTGTGCTGACAGCTCTGAGCCTGGAGCCTGCTTTGGATTCTGTGTCTCCTCCTCTCTCTGCCCCTTCCCTGCTCGTGCTCTTTCTCTCTCTCAATAATAAGTAAACATTAAAAAAAAAAATAGAAGTAAATTAAGTGCTAGAAATAATGAAGGGTTGGTGGTGAGCCCACCATCCTACCTACCTCATGAACCTTGGGTACATTGAGGCCTTGGGCTCGCTGGCCTGGCCTACCAACACTCACCTCTTTTGGCCTCAGTGCCTTAGCCAGGCTAGTAGTTAAGGCCTTTCTCACTTAATGGGGAAATCCGTTTTTTTCAGGAAGTCAAGAGAAGCCACAGTCATTAATAATGGAGATTGGGCACTAGAACAGGCCAAAAGTCATGAAGAGCTGGGAGACAAGAGCCCCTCCTGGTATATTAAAGCACACCGTACCCAACCATCTGCAGGACTTCTCACTTTGACACAGACACAACACAAATAAAAACCCAGATCACAGCAAACCGGTGACTATATTTTAATAAATCAAAGTCTGGAATCCTAAGCCTCAAACGATTCCTTAGGACACTCCAGGAAGGCAGACATTCATTCGAGTGCAGATTCACTTATCACCTCATATGTTTTTATGTGTACTAAGGTTCCATGTTGGCTGAGGGGAGGGGAGCAGAGGAGGGAAACTAAACTCCTAAGGTAAGACAGAGTTGAAGGCTGAGTGAGTTAATGGGAACTTTTCCAATGAAACTCCACGTTGCTACAAAATGTTTTGTTCTGATTTGCCATCACAGTAACCTGAAATACAGAAAACAAAGTCAATGACAGAAAGTTGGACCCAATGTTAAAGGTACATGGGGTATGTCAGGATGGCCTTAGGGCTCAGCTTTATTCAAATGTTTCTTGTAGGGTTACAGCTAGACGTGGCAGTAATTCATCTGTAGTTCATTGGCATCCTTAAGGCTTTCTGAAATCCTTTGAATTTCTCCGGGGGCAAGAGAGAGGCGACAGCATAGGAGCTGCTGTTTTAAAGTTTTCCTTTTACGTGCCTTAAATTGCCTCACTGAATCTTTTCTTTTAAAAAATTTTTAGTGGGTTTTTTTTTTTTTTTTTTTTTGAGAGAGAGAGAGAGACAGAGTGCAAGTTAGGGAGGGGCAGAGAGAGAGAGGGAGACACAGAATCTGAAGAAGCTCCAGCCTCCCAGCTGTCAGCACAGGGCTCAACATGGGGCTCAAACTCAACAACCATGAGATCATGACCTGAGCCAAAGTTGAAGGCTTAACTGACTGAGCCACCCAGGTGCCCTGCCTCACTGCATTTCAAAGGATTGGGAGCATATCCTCCTATCTCAGTAAGTGGAGGCCAAATCAGCCTGGCCTCAGTCACTCTGTGGGTGGTTCTATAGAATGTCCACCATGTCCTCTGTCATGTGTCAGCAGGCGGTTCTACAAGGAGGGTCGGGGTCACAGAACAACCATGGTTTGCATCCAACTCAATTACCTGTGGGAGGTTTGGGGCAACCTGTGTAATCTTTCATAGCCTGAGTTTTCTCATCTGTAGAATGTGGATCATGAGAGTATCTACTTCATGAGGTGTCTCTGAGGATTAAGTGACATAATTCAGGGAAAGGGCTTGGTGTGGGGCCTGGCTGTGGTGAGATCCTTTGCGCACCCTCCATTTAGGCTGCCCCCAGGGTAGAGCATCAAAATCTTATTTTTTAATGTGTTTGGTTTAGGTTCATATCTGTTTGGTGTGGCATGGGCCAGCTAGTTAGATGACTGATGGAGGAGTTCAGTTCTGTTCTCTTTTTCTACATGTTAACATTACCCTATTTGGATTTTGAAACTCAGTTTCCTGTGGGAGTGAGTGTCATTTCAAAATAGACTGCACACTTTCCTCCAAAATGTTACTGGTTTTTAAAGCAAGATCAGACAGGGGTAGTGCTCGCTTAGGCAGCACATATGCTAAAAAAAAAAGATCAGATAAGAGTAACATCTATAAAAAGATTCAACGATTGTTCTGGGGAATCTCAAAAAACATAAGTGAGGAAAACCAGCTAGTCAATTTCATGGCACTCTAGTTCCATATGAAGAAAAAGAGCATTTGTTGAAATGGTTCTGTTTCAAACTTGCTATGGCGAGGTCTCTCTTTAACTTATAAAAGAATTGTTTTTATTTATTTTTGAGAGAGAGAGAGAGAGAGAGAGAGGCAGAGTGTGAGTGGGGAAGGGACAGAGAAAGAGGGAGACACAGAATCCGAAGCAGGCTCCAGGCTCTGAGCTGTCAGCACAGACCCCGACGCAGGGCTCAAACTCACTAGCCTTGAGATCACGACCTGAGCTGAAGTCGGATGCTTAGCCAACGGAGCCATCCAGGCACCCCTCTCTTTAACTTTGGCAGCAATGGCCATTATTTGCTGCCTGGCTCTTCACTGGGGCTACTGACTCCCTAAACAATGTTAATTTTGTCAAAATGGTTTTTTGGGCAGTGTAGCCACACAGACTGGGCCTAGGGTAGCAGATATAAAGGAAGAGCCTGTCCTCTGCAGTTTGATTTAATTAAAAGTGCCAGGGTTTTGGAAAAGGGCTTTTGCCCATCCCTCCTGAAACAGCCCCATGATAAGGCCAGTGAAAGATCTGGTCAAGAAGGACCAAACTGGGCCCAACAGGGCTCCTGAGACTCCGTTTTCTCTCGCTGGCAGAAGCACCGTATTTCACTGGCCTGTGGCCCAAACTCACTGCCCACTGACCCCTCAGGAGAGTGTGCAGTGCCCTGACCCTCACCCACTCACCGTTGTGAACAATCAGCCTGTACTGCCTGGCCAGGCACAGCTCATCCTGTCTCTGCCGCACGATTTTCTGCACGTCCGGGGGAAGGCCGTTGGGGTCGCGGGCAAACACGAAGGAGTAGCTGTCAGCGCAGGTGCCGTCAAGGTTCAGGAGACGGCAGGAGTACTGCACCGCGTAGGTGTCATAGTCGGTGTCGATGATCCAGTGGTCATCATCTGCAAGCCAGAAAGCCACACTGCCAGTGCCGCTCCCTCAGCCAACTCAGGTGCCAGGGAAACTGACGAGCAGGCTCAAGAAACTGGTGACTTCCTGAAACTGGTTTTATTTCATTAGGAAACAGGAGACTACAGAGAATTCTGATGGCTTTTACAAAGCTGGGAAAATGAGAAAGCCTTTGTTCTCCTTTGCAGAAAAGAACCCTGGAGTTGAGGGCGTGGGGGGCCGCGTTCACTTCAACGATTATCTCCCACCCTGACAATAAATGTGACTGTATCTATCCAAAGAACCACAGAGAACGTGGGCCCATCGAAAACCACAAAATAGACCTTTCTACTGGTGTCTTCTCCATCCATTTTCTAACAATGTCTGTGCCTTTGTGGCTGATGTCTTCTCGCTGCCCTGCTGCCCCCCGATCCACTGGAGGATGCCATTCTGATGATCCCCTTCACGGCTTTTCTGCTTCACCCTAATTCTGGCTTAGAAACCTGACATGCTTCTTCATGCTGGCAAAAGAGAGTAATTTTTGTGTTGAGGACACAAGGTGCCCACCCTCTGACATCACATATTCATTCTTAGAAGCTTGTATTTTTCAGATCTCCCCTGACAGAGGCAGAGCTGAGCCCTTCAAGAATTTAGATTTTGTTTAGCCCTAAGGCTGGGAGGTAATAAGCCATGAAGAAGTGTACACAAAGTGGTATAAATGTCAACAAAGGCAGGATGAGAAATAACATTAATAAGAATGTATGTTTGAGAGATTTGGACTGGGGAAACCACAATGAATGCTCAGGTTTACCTGAATACCTTATATTTGGTAAAAAGTGCCACATCTCCAGGGTGCCTGGGTGGCTCACTTGGTTAAGCATCCAACTCTTGATTTCAGTTCAGATCATGATCTCACAGTTCATGGGATCAAGCCCTGTGCTGGGCTCCATGCTGACAGCTCAGAGCCTGCTTGGGATTCTCTCTCTCCCTCTCTCTGCCTCTCCTGTGTGCACGGGCATGCTCTCTCTCTCTCAAGATACCTAAATAAACTTTTTAAAAAGGAACAAAATTTTAAAAATAAAACTTTTTTAAAAAGTGCCACATCTCTACTTAATTTAACATTCTCATTAACATGTAGCCATGGCTAGGACTTTCTGAGCAATTAATTATGCATCAGTCACTGTGTAAACAACTATTCCTCCCGTCTACCCAAAAGTCCACACTGTTATTCCTATTTTACAGATGAGGAAACTGAGGTACAGAGAAACTAAATAATTTACCCAAGATCACAAAGAGCAGGACAGAGCTGGAGCCCACAGGCCTAACATCTACACCACATTAATTCCAGGCAGTAGGTAACTTGGGGAAAGAGGGGACAAGAAACAAGAAACGAAAAGCCTCTGTGTCTCCATCTCCTTCCTGCCCAAGCCGTGAAGCAGGTGACGGTCCCTGTTCTATGTTGGTTCCATATGAGAGGAATGCAGAGGAACCTGGGTCCCCCGGCCTCAGAAAGCATAGGGGGACCTCTACTACCCACCTAAGCCACCTCAGGGTGTGCCTCTCGGCTCGGAGAACCCTGAGAGTGCCAGCTGAAGAGGGCTTCAGTGTGAATCCAGACCCACAGGACAGTGTGAATCCAGACCCGCAGGACAGCTTCAGTGTGAATCCAGACCCACAGTTCAGCTCACTCCAGGCTCTCCAGGAGGAACAGTGAGCCACTGCTGTACCTCCAGGCTTTCCCACGGGACAGGGTCCGAGGCCACAGGTGAGGGTGCCCAGACACAGGAGCTGGGCCAGGAACAGAAGCCATGGGGCCGCCTGCTGGGCCTCACCCTGACCAGGGCCTTCCCTCACTGGCTCCCCAGCCTCTGGGCAAAGTCTTCTTCCTCTGCAAATGAAGTCATTTCTTCCCTGGTGATGGGGCTCAGTGTGTCTGTCAGAGGTGCCCCAGCGGCCAAGCCCTCAGACACAAATGTGCTCTCCTTTGAAATGCTGCCCCAATTCGAGATCGAGGCAGCTGTCAGCTCAGCAAATCTGCAGCTTAATTTTGTTTTTCCAAGATTGTTGCCAGAATGTGAATTCTGACTTAAGAACTAAATAGTTTTCAATGCTTGGTTTTAAGAAAATTGACTACTGTTCTTGACTTTTTTTTTTTTTTTTTTTTAAAAGGCCTAAGTTGGTTTGGTTTATCTCCAGGTTCTTTTTGGCTAAATAGTTCAAAGAAGAAGAATTTAAATCCTAACAATCCTTGCCAGATTCTCCCTCCTAAGGCAAGAGATGAACTGCCTGAGCGCCACTTGAAAGAATAAACTTGGTCCTCCAGCCTCCTCCCTCCCAGCAGCCGGGGGTGGGTCACCCTGTAGAGCCAGAATCCCCCAGACATTTCTGGATAGTAGCTGTCTGCATGCAACAGAGCTGGGGAGGGAGAGTGATCAAGGCAGCGGCCATATGGCCAGGAGCCCCCGCAGCTGCCTCTATACTGTACCCACACGGACGGGTTTAGAGGTTTTAACTAAATGCCATTCCAAAAAACAAAGAAAACACTCAGTAGACGGAGCTGTCTCGGTGACCTGGTTCCCTTGCAGATCTGTTGCTCAGTGCAGTGGGCCAGGAACAGGTCCCTTCAGCATCCTACACCTGTGTCCTCCCATCATCGAAAGTGAACACACAGGTGAAAAGCTCCCTCCAGTTCTCGGTCTAATAGTCCAGTAGAGCCGGATGGTGGGTGTGATGCTATTTCTAATTGCCCCCCCACCCCCCACCAAAGTCCAGCAGGCCCTGACAGAGTGAATGGAGTCTGAGACCTTGAAACCTGAGTAAGCAAAGATAATCTTTGGATTGAATTATCTAGAGCAGTTTCTCAAACTTCACTGTGCAGAAGGAGCATACCTAAGGACCATACCAAAACTGCCAACTCTGGGGCCCGACCCCAAGAGTTTCTGATTCAGAAAGTCTGGGTTTGAGCTCACAAGTCTGCACTTTTAACAAGCACCCAGCTGATCCAGGCGTAGGTGGTCTGGGGACCCAGGTTTCAAGAACTGATGTACATAACATTGCTATGTAGCCTGCACAGGCTCCTTTACCAGCAGAGTGACAGACTTTATCTGGAAGACAGACAAAAGAGAGTCTTTGTCCAGGTCTTTCAGGAATGGTCCGAAACAATAATGACCAAAGCTGATATTTTCTGAGCACTCATTATGCATCAGGTTAAGCATTTTTCATGCATTACCTTAATTTGTCCTTCCAACAATCTTATGAAATAGGAACTATTCTTTACCCCCATTTCTGTTAAGGAAATCAAAGTTCAGAGAGGCTAGTCAATGGTAAAGCCTACATTCCACCGAGATCGGTTGATGATGGCATTCCTTAACCCCTGAGACGCCCTGTTTGCTGCTGGCAGAGCTGGGGCAGAAGGAGGCCAGGACAGAGCACGCCCAAGGCTGGGGCAGCAAGCCGTGTTGGGGTCTGCTGACACTGACACTTAATATTCAACTTGAGAGATTTACTGTATTTATTTTTAAAATAACATGACAACAAATTTAGCGAGCCTTTGTTCCTGAGCTATTTTCTCTGCATAAGTGTACCTCGTTTTAAACACATCTGTTTGGTGAAATGCAGCATGTGAAGAGGGGGAGAGACTAAGAACGCAGGTCACTCTCTGAGGCTTCAGACCCTCCTGACCAAGTCAGGGTTTAATACCAGACCAAGATCAAGGAAGAAAGAAATTGGCACAAGGAGAGATGGTAGAGTTTGTAAAAGCCCCCCACCTCCCCAGGCCCCAAAGCATGTAAGATACAGGAAGGTAGAAACAACAAATCATACGGTCTGTGGGACACTTAGAAAACACTGGGGCAGCTCATGCCCTGGGCAAAGAAGTATCACTAAGTACCACTAAGTAGCCACGTGGCCCTGGGCTAGTCACTTCTCTAAAAGATACCTCAGTTTCTTCACTTGTAAAATGAGAGGCTTGAACTGATGGTCTCTGTGGGACCTCCCATCCCGTGCCCAGAAGATGAAATGCCTGGGGAGAAAATGAAGCACTAATAATCTACACTTGCAGAGAACACACATCTCAGGCATTTTTCTAACTTTCTGCAGGTCAACTCACTGCATCCACAGAAGACAACTCCATGAGGCAAGGGCTATGATCACCTCCTTTTGTAGAGGAGGAAACTGAGGCACTGACAGGATAAGGAACACACTTGAGTTCCCACAGGTAGTGGGTGAAGTTAGGATTTGAACTCAGGCAGTCTAACTTTTAAACCCGGCAGGCTTGGGGCGCCTGGGTGGCTCAGTCGGTTAAGCGTCCGACTTCAGCTCAGGTCATGATCTCACGGTCCGTGAGTTTGAGCCCCACGTCGGGCTCTGGGCTGATGGCTCAGAGCCTGGAGCCTGCTTCCCTCCCTCTTCTGTGTCTCCCTCTCTCTCTGCCCCTCCCCTGTTCATGCTCTGTCTCTCTGTCTCAAAAATAAATAAATGTTAAAAAAAAAAAAAAAAAGTTAAACCACTATCCAGCACTGCTTCTTTCCTGAAAGGGAATCTCACAAGGAACTGAATTCTGAGCCTTCCATATTGTAGTCATCTCACTGAATATCTATAGCCATCGCTTTAAAGATTTTAAGTTTCTTTTGTTTTTGTTTTTTTGCCTCCAGATGAAATCCTAGGTAGAATCTCAACCTACCAGAGGTAAAAGCAAGACTAATCTGGTTTGGTAGCAAAGGAGGGGGTAGGACACAAGAGGCAAACCCCACCTCCTCATCGGGTTCTCTCCCACTCTTCCCAAATGCACTACCAGCAGAATCCTAGTTCTTTCCAGAGTGGATCTCAAAATGCAACAGAGCATTATGTGTTCACGTTTACTAACAATTAGTAATCTTGTACCCCCAGTATTGATTTTTGTAATTCATTACCAGAAACGCATATCTTTCACACTAAATGAATCACTCTAGAAAGTTTTGCTGCATTATTTAAAATACTTTTTTACTACTTACCTGGGAGTTGGAATCCCTGGCTTTTGACACTGGCTCCCACAAACTTGTATGACCGTGGGCAAATCAATACTTTCTCTTGGTCTCAGTTTATTCATCTGTATATTGAACCCCCTTTGTAGGGGTAACTCCCTAAGATCCCATGATATGTCCCCCTTGGCCTGCATTATTTCCTGGGTACCAAATGGCTTCCAGATGTGAAATTTAAGAGAAATGGAAAGAAAGTCAAAAAGGCAGGTAAATGTTGTGTTCTTATGATCCGCCTAGACTTTAGGATGTTTTTCTGAGTCTTCAACACCCTGTCTGTCCCCCATTTGAGTTTTGGTGCTTGGGAGAAAGCAGAGAGATCAGTGCCACCCAGAATACTGTGCCTGGCTCAGAATCTCAGCATCTGCAGGCAGGGCACCCCGGAGTCAGCCTACCCTATGCACAGTGCTCCCCACATCCTTGGATAAAGGTCTCCCAGCCTCTGCTGGGGCCCCAAGTAATCAAGCTGTCTCAGGGATTCAGCCCAATGAAATGGAGGAAATACAAAACCAGGGTGAATGGTGAGGTGGGATGGGTCTTGGGGAGGTGGGAAGTCTGAGCATGGAGAAGGCTACACACCTTGGCACAGTGGCTGGATAGGAAAATGGCAGAAGGAGGTCACCTAACAAGCCCAAAGTCCTTTTGAGCTTGGGCCAGGTTTTCTGAGCTGGAGATAGGGAAAGTGGGCAGGGAGGGGGCCTGGTCAGTCCCAATCTCACCTCCCCAACCTCAGGCCCTGCTCAGGGTTCCTGCCACTTACAGACCATTCTTTCCAAGGGTGCAGCCGAAGAAGAAACTCGGCTATCTGGCCAGGTATGACCCCCCATCCCCTGAGATGGTCCTACTGAACTGACTACTCACTTCCTTTCTGGAGAAAGGACGCTACGCCCCAATACTTCATCTTGAACTTAGCAGAGTCCTCAGTGTCTGTGAAGGTGCCCACCATGTCTGCGCACACGTCCCAATTACTGCAAAAGCCAAAGAGATCCTGAGCCAGGCCAACAAAGGGCTTCCTCCCACCATCCCACCCAGAGGCTGCCCCCCCCCCCC